AAATCAGAAAAGGGCAATGCGGTCTACTGAGATGAAGGGGTGGTGATGACGCTGGACATCCAAAGAGTAAGGAGGTTTGGAATAGAAGCTGTGGGAAATGTGATAAATAGTGGATGTTAGATAAATAGATTGTGGAGCACCAGAAAAGGCTTAATAGCATGAATTAGGTTCAACAACATGAATTTGTAGTGTTAATCTGATGTGCTCAGGGTCCAGCAATAGGAGAAAAGATGGTAGAGGTAACCCAGGATGAGGATTACCAAATAAGCCAGGATATTAGAATACAAAGGATAAGAAAGTACCAATAGTAGAATAGTGGCAACCTAATGAGATGACATGTAAAATGCCTTGCAAATCTTAAAGCACAATGTAAATACTAGCTTATATCATCATCATTATTATTGAAAAGAGTACTGGATTTGGAGTCAGTGCTGGGGTTCAAATTTGAGTTTTGCTACTTCCTACCTGCTTGACCTGGAGTAAGTCACTTTACTCTTTGTACCCCAGTTCCCTCATCTGTAAAATGATGGGAATGGACTCTAAGGTCCTTTTCACCTCTAAATCTGGGATCCTATTTTCCAAGATTAAGTGTGCCCCTTTAGGTAGCCTACAGTAGCAGTGAAACATTAACAAAATGACTGATCTTGGGGTTCAGGTTGGGTGTGGAGGGATAAGAAACCAGAGTAGGTGGGATAGACCAAAAGAAAAGGGAAGGATCCCTGAGGGGCTAAGGAGCTGATAAAAACAAAGAACAAGGAGTGAGAGAATAGGAGAGGTGGAAGGACAGGAGAGAGTGGTCAGAGTTGGGAATCTGCAAATTCAGAACCTTGGAAATGGAGCAGTTATGGATTATAACAGGGTCTAAGAGGGAAGATTTGGGGGCAGGTAACTGATGTGGAAATTGAAGGAGGACTAAAGAACTGAGGCCTGATTATTTAGATTTTTTTTTAAAAGGATCTATTAGAGGAGGAAGAGATTAGAGGCAGGAAAACTGGTTAGGAGACAACTGTAGTTTATGTTCAAAGCAATGAGGACTCCAACTAGGGTGGTATTTTTATCCCTAGTGCCTAGCACAGTATCTGGTACATAGTAGGAAATTAATAAATGCTTGTGGATTGATTGACCAAGGTCAAAGGGGCAGTGGATAGCACAGCAGGAGTTCAAACCCAGATCTTCAAATTCAGTTCTCTTTTCACCAACCTATGCTCCTTTAGCATCTACCATCTGTGCAGCTCATTTAGAATTGAGTGTGAGCACCCAGCCTAGTGTCCTAAATTCTTTTCTCATCATGAGATTCTTATCATTTAAGGGGGAAAGGATCCAGGTGTATTACCTTTCCTTCTGTCTCTCTCCCTTTCCTGTGTGGGGAGCACAGGCCTTGGCACACAGGGTTGTCTACTTCTATTCTATTTTCCTCCAGTGGCTAATTGCCCTGGCCTCCCACAGCCTTGAAAGATAGTACCTGGTCCACTGGGAAGAAGCAGACACACAGCACAGTGGTTGGATCCATAGGGTCTTAGCATGACCATTATTCTCTGTGTTAGTGTCCCCAGACACTTAGAACTTGAGCTTGGAGCTTTGGGCTATCAGGCCCATCTGGTCTTACACCAGGAACCTCTAGAAAACTGGGAGATAAAAGGAAAAAACATTTCCCTCATGTGTGAACTGTCTCGTTTTCTGTCTCCACCCACCATCACTGGGTGGATGCCCACATCTGTCAGCCCTCATTCCGCATGGAAGAAAGAGAAGGCCTAACAGCTCTACTACCCAGCAAGTGCTGCTCAGACTTACACTTAGTCCAGTGGCCTCAAGATCTGCTTCCTCATCTCCCTTTTCCCATATCCATCTGAGAATTACCGATTTAAATCCACCTCCCCTTAAACCCAGAGACCAGTTTAGTGGTTCCACCTTCACAGACAGAAGCTGCTCTTTCCACCTAAATACCTAATTCCAGGAGGGGAGGAAGGGGGGAGTTTGAAGCCCTTACCAACCCAACTGCTGATTGACTGGCTGCTCCAAAACGGAAACTCCATCTCTAGTGAAGTGGTGGGAGGGTGGGTTAGGCCATCAACTCTACATTTGGCCCACCTGCCTGTTCTGATCTAATTCTGTATCTGAATCAGAATGAGAGGGATTGGAGAATTTCGGGAGGTGGGGGTAGGGGAGGTGGGAAAGGGCAGTGATGGAGGTTTGTGGAAGATAGAGGTAGGAGAGGCCAGTAAGGGGAAGGAATCAATGAGAATGTGATAGGTGGGATCAGTGGGAGAGGTATGGTGGTTAATGAGGGGCTTAATGAATAAAGGGGGCAGTGGGAGAGGGCTAGTGGGGGAGTCTAGTAGAGGATGTCAATGAAGGGAATCAATAAAGGCCCTCTAGTCTGGGAGAAAGAAGCCAGGAGTCTTTGGGAGTGACATACAAAATTTCATTTATTATTTATTCATTTATTTATTTATTTATTAATTATTTATTTATTTATTTCTCATGTGCACAAAAGGAATGAAACAGAACCGGCGCTGAGGGAGGCTGAAGGAAGCTGGGGAAGGCTGAGGGAGGCTGGAGGAAGCTGGGGAAGGCTGAGGGAGGCTAAGGGTCAGACCTAGGCTGAGGGTGACTTTCAGAGTCTCCCAGGCTCAGGTCCCTGCCCTGTCAGTCAGTTGTTCCGGCTTGGGTCAGGGCAGGGTTCGCCCCGAGGCGCCGACAGTTCAGTAAAACCATTGTGTTTTCTCACTTTTCTCGGTAAAGTTCTGGGAGGAAGTTCAGAGACCGGCCAGGTGGGTTAGGCAGGAGGGAGCCTCCCTGGGGCTCGGGCTCCGGACTCTTCCATTAAAAAAAATTTTTTTTTCACTTTTTATTGACTTTGTTTCTGTTATTTCGAGTCGTCACTATCCACAGGTGAGGAAACATGCAGGCACAGCCGCTCTGGGGAGGGGACCAGAGGAAAAAAGAGGATAGGTAGGAAAGGAAAAGAGGGGAAAGAAAAGACGCAGAGTGGAGAGAGAGAAGGGGAAAAGGGAATGGAGAGGAGAGCAGAGAGGAAGGGAGAGAGGAAGAGGAGGGGAAGAAGAGTAGAGGGAGAAAAAAGAGACTATAAGACAGCTACTGGCACGAGGGGCTGCTCAAACCATCAGTTTCCCAGGACAGGAGGGTGCAGATCTGGGGCCAGGCAGGACTGAGAGCTCAAGGATGATAAATCAGGCCTGGTAGGAGGAGATGCTGAGGGAGAAGCCAGTATTAGAGGAAAGAGACACAGAAAGGGAAACGGGGCCGGAAGCACGGTACCGAGAGAGATGGTTTAAAAGGGAACAACCACAGTAGAGGAGTCCACAGGAGTCATTTTGCATAGTGATTTTTCTTTCAAACCTTTCTTTTGCAACATAAAAAAAATCCCCCCTCTGCCCTGCACCCCTCCCCCACGTGCTGTGCTTTATTGGGTATGTATCTTGTGTACCCCCTCCCCCCATGTCCTCCCTCCTCCCCCCTCCCCCCCAAAGTGAGCGGCGACTCTTACAGCACAGACAGCAGGGCTTATCTACAGGCGGGCAGCGGGTGGCTTTAGTCACTACGATACAGGATGGCCCAGGCCGGGAGGGGCATTGGAAGGGTTTATATACACGAGGATTCGCCTTCACACAACACACACCGTCTTTCTATAAAGCAGCAGCTATAGGCTTTTTCTTTTTGCAAATACCATAATATTAAATAATTGTAGAATTTGAGGTCCCTGCCCAGTTCTCGCTGATAAGACTAGTGGCGGTCCTGCTAGGTCCCAAGATAGGTCCCAAGCCTATCTCGGACAGCGAGAACTCAGACACTGCCCTATGCTTACCCGACTTGGACCCCAAATCCCCTGGCTTGGCTCCTTGGGGGGAGGAGGAGCGGACCACGCTGGTCTAGGGCTGTTCCACCTGGCCAGCCCCAGACTGAGGGACTGCGTCCAGAATCAGGGCTGGGACCAGCTCTAGGACGGGGACTGGGACCCATTGCTCTAGGGTGACCCAGCCCAACTGAGATTGAACACGATTGCAAAGGCTGAGATGGAGTGGGGAGGAGACTGAGATGCAGGGTTAAGTGTGTCCCAAGGTTCCGGGAAGCCCATGGGGGCTGGGGCGGGAAATAGCTCCAAACAGCAATAGGGGCAGTGGTGATGGCGTAGGGTGCGGCGGTTTCGGTGGAAAGAGGAAAGAACCAGACTAAGTCCGGTTAGCTGGAAGGGCCATTTGCCCTGTGTCCCATCAGCAGAGACACTGTCTCGCAGGACTCCGGCCCCACAGACGTTCTCTATCACAATCCCCCTTACGTCCTGGGCTGGGGGTGGGGGTGGGGGAAGAGAGCCCAGCGCACTAGGGGTCGAGTGGGTAGTTCTTTCCTTTAGTTTATAACTTTTTTGTTCAGGATTTTCTTTCCCCAAGCCTTCACAGCAAAGAGGCTTAACACCATGTCGCTCTTTCTCCTTCTGGTTCCGCAGGCTGCGGGATGGGGAGGGGCGGACAGAGCGGGCCTGACCCGGTCGATTGGGGAGGGGGGCGTGATAGCTGTCCCTGCTCTTACAGTCCAGCCCGCCCGACTTGGCTCCGGCCCAGGAGAGCAGACCCATTATAGGTTGGGCGTGCTACACCCCGGCTACCGCCACAAGACCCTGCCCCGGTCCGAGGAGGCGCACCGGGAGGGGAGGAGGCGGGTGCCAGACCAGGTCAGGGCACATCCCTACGCCTCCCTCCCGGCGGACCTGCAGGAGACTACGGAGGGCGGCGAGGCAGAGGCCAGAGAGGGGCAAAAGGCTGGGTCTGTGGATTCCTCTCGAGACTCAGCCCGTCCCGTCTCAACGGGTCCCGGATTTAAAGTAAGACTGCGGGGCAGGGAAAAAGGAAAATAGGGAGGACAGGGGCCAACTGGGAGGCGTAGCGTCCCGTCCCGTCGCATGGCGTGGCGTGGATCCTCCCTCCCTCCGTGCGTGGCGGCGGGAGAGAGGCCAGCGGCGGGAGAGAGGCCAGCGGCGAGCGAGCGGGCGAGCAGGCGGGCGGGCTTCAGACGGGGACAATGTGCAGGCCAAAGCTGTCGGCCTGAAGCTTGATGTGGTCTCCGCGGTAACTAGTGGCGGTCATAGGCAGCGGCAGCAGCGGCAGGGGCGGAGCCCCGGGGGGTGGCACTATAATAATAAGGGGAACCTGGAAGTTAACACAGGAGAAGAATGGGCTGGGTGAGAGGACAAACAGGAGAACAAAAAGGAAAAGTAACTCAAACCGAAAACCCCCAGGGCGGTGACGTGGGGGGGGGGCAAGGAAGGCCGAAATGGCCGGCTCGGGGGACCTTGGCACTTTGGCCTTCAAACAGCGATAAATCGGGAGAATCGAATCCTTTGGGCCCACCAGACGCACAAGGACCATCACCATTTGTTGAAACCTCCATTTGTACTTACTTAGGTTTGCTTGCCCTGCCCGAGCCCATCTGGGACAGGAGGAGGGAAGGAGGGGAACCGATCTCTATGAAGGAGGAGTCTGGTTTGAGTCTCCAGTCTGAGCTAACCTCTCCCCACCCCTACCCCTATCCCCCCATTGCTGACATGAGTGGGGCTCAAAATCTGGAACGGTGGCTGGTGAGCAGACAGACAAGACATTTTGGTGGCCGTACTCACTTAGTAAGGCCGGGTTGCTGAATCTCCAGGCCTCATTGTAGGTTGTGTACTGAGGGTGGCTGTAGGGATTGCCTGAGAACTCGCTTCCTGCAGGGAAGGGAGAGGAGACAGGAGTGGGGTGAGTCCTAGGGATGCAGACACTTTGAACGACAGCATCGTTGTTATCATCATAGGAACGGGCAGTTGAGTGTCCTGAAGTCAAAAAGCCTTCTCCCCTGATACTCAGGCCTGTCTTGACTCAGACAGATAGATAGATAGATGATGGCTTGGAGGAGTAGACAAGGGAACCTTGTTGAATGGAGTAAGGAAACTGGTTTGGTCCCCCGGCCCTCAGGACAGAGGTGTCTGGATGCCAAGAGCATATCCAAAGACTGCTGGGTGGATGAGTGCATGCCTACTCAGCAAGGCTCTGCTTTGCTCTCCTCCTTTTCTGATGATAAGTCCCTTTACAAGCTGGGAAGCCTGGGCTATCTGCTGCTCTTGTTTCTGGGGAGATGGCACTGCCTGGTGGGAATCAACAGGAGGACCTGATATCCTCGATGTGCCAAACCAAGCTGAAGGGCTTGAGCCATCCGTCGAACCTAAACTTCTAGATTGTACTGCCAAGAATGGACCAGAGGGCAAGAGACCCATTTTCCTACAATTGGTGCTATTGAGAATGACTGGAATGGGGGAGAGGGGGGCTAGCAGTATTCCATGCCCATGGACACAGAAAAAGCCCAGTAACTGCTTCTTATCCATTGTCATGCCCAGAGGAAATCACGATGTGGGTGCAGCCCACTGCAGTATGGTTGAGGTTAGTTCTCTAGGACTACAGGGGACTGGAGAAGAGAGATATCATGGAGTACAAGACAGGAAGAAGATGGACACTGCTTTGGTCTAAGGAGGGAAGGAAGACCAATGCTTAGGGCCTTCAGGAGCTCTGAAGAGAAGGGCAAGCTCTCCGAAGGCTTAGGGGTAGGGGTGGGATGACGCCCTGGAATTGGCACTGGCTGTCCCCCCTGCCTCCTCCCTCTCTCTCTCCTCTCAGAAAGGCCAGGCCTCTGAGTTTTTCTCTCACCCTTTCTCCTGTGTGATGACCCCAGACTGTTTACACTGATCCCGCAGCACAGGTTAAGTAGAGGAGAAGGAGCCCCTCTCAGAGAGGGAGCTTGGGGGGGGGTGGGGGTGGAGGGGGGATGCAGCCACTGGAAAGCCTGTTTATTGACGAGGAGGGAAAGCATGCGTGCAGCAGGATAATGAGCTTCTGAGCTCAACTGTGACCAAGAGGAACTGAGCTATCTCCTTCCCCGATCGCTAATGAAACAAGTGTAATTTCCTCATCAGCACTGGATTCTGTTTAACGACTCCCCTCTTGCCACTGCGGCTCCCCTGCCTCCCACCCCCACCTCCCTTCACCCTCCCTCACTTCTATCCCCCCTCTCCCTAACTCCCTCCCACTGACTCACTTTACCCCCTACCCTCTCTTACCCCTTGTCTGCCTGCTCCCCTTCTCCTAGGGGGTCTCCACTTCCTACCTTCTACCATCCTCATACCATCCCCCACTCATCTCACCTCGTCTCCCTTGAGGTTCCTCGCTTTATCTCCCACCAGTTTCCTCATCTCCACACCCACTGCCCCCAACTCCCTTGGTACCCTCGTGTGTCTACAAGGTGTGGCCTGGGACAGACAAATAACACTACAGATATGCCCCTCTGAATCACCAAAATCTGTAGGATCACCAAAGGGCAAGGGTGTGGGAAAGGGGACCTAGTCCCACATTCATTTTGGTAAAAGGATTTCCATAGAGGGGATGGGTTGCACTAACTGGGAAAGCCAACTCATTTTCCAGTGCTCCATCCTTGAGTCATGGGAAAGTAGGGGCAAAGTTATAACCTAGGGAAATCACCTTCTGCACCCCACCTACTTTCCTCTGAGATGCTGCAAACCAACCTTGCCTCTTTCAGAGAGAGGGGAGAGTTAATATATAAACATCAGGTGACGCCTCCTGTACTGGGGCATAGGGCGTCTCTAGGAGAAGGTGGTTTTATTTCTGGCTTGTCTCCCTAGAACTAGAGCTCCTCTGACCCAGGCCATATCATGAATTCTAGGTCTGCCTTCTTGGAGGTTGTCTCCTGCCAGATCGAGGGAAGGAAGTGCTGCTCTGCACTGTCCTTCCTAGCCTCCCCTCTGGGGGCTGGTGTTAGCCAGGGTGGCTTTGTCTAGGTGACTGACATTTGTCTAGAAATGGTGCTTGACTCCAGGTTTCCATGGAAACCAGGGTAGGCTTTTCCAAGCCACCTCAGCTTGGCCTGGTCCTATGCTCTGGGTATATATAGTCAGCTAGCTGGCCAGGACCTGGGGTGGCCTCTGGGCACTGATGGGGGGAGTAGACTAAGGTTGAGGTGACAGGAGAGGTGACTCCAGTGGTGGTGGGGGCAGATATGTATCCCTGCAATCATATTCCAGGGGTTTTCCCAGACCTGGGCTCCATCCAGCCTACACTGGGGAGAGGAAGAGAAGGAAAACACAGAAAGAGATCACCCTTTGGGGATAGCAGGGAAAGAAGTCATATGACTGAAGGTGGATGTTAGGAAAGAGAATCTGTACTCACAGAACACCTATGATTTAGTTTCCCCAGGCATGACCCCTCCCCTTCTCCCCAGCCCTTGACTGTGGCTTTTTATCACCTACCAGGCACCATTCCTGCCAGGGTAGAAGTGGGGTAGCTTCCCTGGCCAGTGGGGGGAACATGGGGGGGATAACCGGGCAGGGTGGTACTCGCCATGTCACGACCTGAAAAGAGACAAGGCACGGGGGTGAGGGGCTGGTACTCGAACCAGGTCACTCTATGAAAAAGAAACTGCCACATGATCATGTAGGAATAGCAGTACATCTGCATGTGTGAGAGTGTATTTGTGTATGTATGTATCTTTTGTGTGTTTGGCTACCATGTTTTCTTAGGGGGCAGCAGAGAGAACACAGGATACAGGGTTGGAAAAGGGGACTTATATATATATGTAATTAACTCCAATATTTGTATGTTGTTTCCCCCATTACAATGTGAGCTTCTTTAGGCCAGGGAATGAGTTTGCCTTTTTAAAAATCCCCATAATAAGCACTTAACCAATGCCTCTTGACTTGATTTCCTGGTCCCTCCACTGCTTTCCAGTAAGTAGTCCCTCTGGTAACATCACAACCTTCTCACCGCCACACCCAACCCTTCTTCCTTTGGACCTCCCAATTTTAGTCCCTCCAACACCTTCTAAGGTTCTAGGGAACACAACTCCCTTCACACTTCCATCCTGATACTGACCTTTCCCACCATATCTCTTCCTGAGTCCTGAAGGACATAACCTCACTAAGGACATTGCCTGGTTTCTCCATGGCAAGTGCCTGGGGCTGTCAGGTTGAGGCAGAACAGGGAGATGTTTTGCTGTTTGTGTCACATTTAAATGAATTAGAAGATGCTCCTAGGAGCTTTCTCTGCTCCTGATCCCAGGAAGCAAAGCCCTGTTAAAGGCTGTTAGAACAAGGCAAACCTGGTTCATTATGGATTTATACTGTCCAGCTTTCAACTCACACTTCACAGGGAACCCCAGGGTCGATTATATAGACAAAGGGTGTGTTTCTTTGGAAAATTATGTGATCAGATAGTTACACAAATTGAATGAAGATGAATTATGAACTTAAACATACAATATGAATTGGAGAAACTGCCCTGACACCTCCCTTATATTGGTGACTCTTTGAAGAGGATGACTTTACCTTCTATTTCACTAAGAAGATGTTGGCCTTCATCAGCCCTCACCTCCACTTTATATGTCTGCCTCTTCATCTTTTTCCTTCCTCCCTGTCTTCAGAGAAGTTGTGTTCCTTCTCTTCTCTAAATCCTATACTATGCCCTGGGGAAAGACCTGGACTTCATGCCCTCCCAGCTTCCCCAAGACTTTCTAGATTACCCCTCCTTTACCATCTTTAACTTGTCTCTTTCCATTGGCACCTTCTCTTTTTCAGTCTACCCTTTCTCTCTACCTTCTGTAATCAGTCTTCTGACTTCACCACTCCACTGAAACTTTTCCCGAAGGTCATCAATGACCAAACCTAATGGCCTTTTCTAACTCCTCATTCTCCTCAATCCCATTGAAGCATTTGATACAGTTGACTCAGTCAACAGTGTCAAAGGAAGGGACCTTGGAAACCATTGAGTCCACCCTTCACTTTACAGATGAAGAAACTGAGGCATAGAAAGATTAAGCAATTTGCCCAGGGTCATATGGCCCACCAACGTATGTTGATATTTGAGGTGTGATTTGAACACAGGTTCTTCTGCCTTCAAATACTATCTACTACACAACACTACCTCACCTCAGAAGATCTAGGTTCAGGTCCTACCCTTGATACATATTGGTTGTGTGATCCTGAACAAGTCACTTAACCTCTTACCCTCTTAGTGTCCCCTGGCAACTATATAAGACTAAATTGTGGAGCTGGTGACAGTCTCCATCAGAAATAGTAGCTCCTGATACTGATGAAATCACAGGACTAGTAAAAATATTTTTAAACATTTTGCTGGCACCTTTAACTCAACATGTTTAAAACTTGTCTTTCTTTACAAAACAATTCACCTCCATGCTCCCCAACTTTCCTCTTTTTGTCTATGGTACCACCGTCTTCCCTTTTTTCTGATTTGAAGCTCTGGAGCCATCTCTGCCTCTTCATTCATACCCTGCCTCCCACATCTAATCAATAAATCCGGTCATTTCTTCTTTTGATGCCTTTTAAATTAAAGCCTTCATTTTCACTTCCACTGCTGCCATTCCAAGTTGTGACCTTCAGATTACCTAATATCTAGATTCCTTTACCAACCTTCCAAATGAGCTCCCTGACTCCAGAAAAGTCCTCAACTGTTCTGTATACCCCTATCAAATTAAAAGTCCTTAATGACTATTTTTGTCACATCACAACCTTTCTCAAGAATCTTCAAGGACAGGTTCTTTATTTCCTATCATATCAAATCTAAACCCTGCCTGACATTCTAAGGGCCTCCACAGTTTGGTCCTATATCCTCTCCATTACTATCCTTCTACTACTCTCTAGCAGTACTCCCTCTAGTTTAATTAGGCTGATGTCCTTATTGTCTCCATATATGAGCCATGTTCTTCTTCACACCTACACCTTTATTTGTGTTATTTCCTATGCCTGGTGTGAAAGTGCTCCCTTCTTTCACTGGCTACTTAAATCCTTTCCATCCTTCAAGGCTCGGCTTAAGGTTTTGACTCTTTCTTGAAGCTTTCCTAAACTTCTCCAGCTCTCATTGATATCTTTTCTGAGGATATAAATTCTGCCCTACACAATTTAGTACTTAATAGTTTGTCCTCTTCAAGTACTCTGCAAGCTCCCTGAGGGCAGGGACTATGTCTTCTTTTTCTTTATTCTCTGTAGTAATAAGCACATAGCAGGTGCTCAATAAATACCTGTTGATTAATTGTGCTGGTAATCAGTACCACACAATTTAACATTTAATTATTCTCTCATTGTTATGTCTGTGCTAAATGTAAAGGCCAAAAAAAGTGGGTTGGAATTTCAGGGACAAATATTCTCCCTTCCTCCCAAAATTAAATTGTAAATTTTGCCTATTTTAGAATGATGAATAATATATTTAAGAAAATACTAATACAAAAATCTATGGTATAATTCTTAGAAATAATGGTATATGATATAATTCTTAGAAATAAGTTTCTAATTTTTAGATATAATTTAGAAATAAATTTCTAAAAATGCATTTATTGACACATGATCTTTAGAAAAATTATTTTTAAAATATGCAGGAGAAAGATTTTTGTGCAAAGTTGTTTCAGTATTTGCATATTCAGTATTCCTGTAAATTCTTATAAAAGGAAAAGCAGCAGTCTGGAATAATGCTGTTGACTCAGTCCCTATCTTTGACTGAAACCACTCTCCTGAAGACATCAGAAAATTCATGATCATTAAATCCAGTGGCCTTTCTTGTCCTCATTCTTCTCAATCTGTTGACAGCCTTTAGTGCTGTTGACAGCCCCTCATTCTGGGTGCTCGCTCTTCCCTTGGTTTCAGGGACATCACTGTCCCCTGCTTCTCCTCCTACTTTTCTAACCACCCCTCCACCATTTCTTTACCTTGGATCTTGCTGCCTCTACAGTGTCTCTCTTGGTCATCTCTTCCACAGCTTCAGTTAACACCAGGTGACTACCAAATCAACATCTCTGGCCCTGAGTTCTCTTCCCATGTTTTCGGCTGCCTGTAGGACGCTTCCGATGGGATTTCTCATCAACACCTCAAACCCAACATGTCTAAAACTGAGCTGATTGTTTGTGTCTTAATCCTGTTTCTCTCTCTGGCTTCCCTGTTTCTGTCAGTGCTGCCACCATTTTCCCAGGCTCCCATACAGTGTTGGGGTAACACTTGGCTTTTCCATTTCCCTCATCTCTCACGTCCGAAGAATTGCCAAGTCCCATCAATTCTTCTGTTGCAATAACTCTCATATGCATCTTCTTTTCTCTAATTCCACTGCCACCATCTTAGTATAAGCTTTCACTGTCACCCACCTGGACTATTGCAATAACTACGCTACCCCCAGCCTCATCCTCTTTATGTATATTTCTTTTACTCAAAACTCCTTAATGCCTTTCTGTTGGCTGCCATATAATGATCAAATTTCTTTGCCTGGGATCCCAGACTTTCCACAGTTTAGTGCCAACTTTATTCATATTACCACCCCTCCATGTACTATGCAGTTCAGACAAACCAGATTACTTGCTGTCCCAAGCACATGTTCTATATTTTGAATGAATGAATAAAAGAATGGTCATTTCTTAAACATTTGCTACATGCCAGGCACTGTTAGGCACCAGATATACCAATACAAAAAGCAAGACAATCCCTGCCCATAAGTAGCTTACATTCTATCAACCAATGAGCAAATATTAAATGCTTTCTATTTGCCAGTCACTGTTTTCCCATTTTTATGCATTTGCTCACACTTTTTCCTATTACCCTCTCAACCTCTCCCCCTACTGAAATCCTACCTATTGAAATCCTAACCTGTAAAACCTACAATCCTTCCCTCCTTAGACCTTGCAAAGCATTCTGTTTGCACCTCTCTTTTGTTATTTGCTTTATAGTTACATGTTCATATGTCTAAGACTGTAATGGACAGTAGGGCAGAGACCCGGTCTTATCTATGTTGTGTATCTCCCTATTATCCAGGTGATTAATAGATATTTATTGAATTAAATTAATTAAATGCATGAGTCAGATGTCTTTTGACCTACAGAAGATACTAATGTTTACTTTTCTAGTAGCTTTCCTTCTGTTGAATTTTAATCTAGAAATTGGAGGACATTTTCCAGTCATAAGGACAAAGTGTTATGTAGCAGAAAGAGCAACCGCTCTGCCAGTGATGCCAGATATGGCCTCACACAAATCACTTGATGTTTCTGAGCCTCAGTTTCCTCATTTGTAAAAAGAGAAAACCTCATTCTGTGAGGAAAATACTTTGTAAATTATTAAGTATGTATACATTTGAATTAGGTAGTACAGTAGATAGAGGCCTGGACCTGGAGTTAGGTAGACCCAAGTTAAGATCCCAATTCAGAAACTGTGTGACACTGTATAAGTCACTTAACCTCTCTTAGCCTCGGTTTCCTCATCTATAAAATGATGTAATCGAACTTGCACAGTAAATACCTGTTAACCAACTAAGAGGCCTTGTGCTATAATAGAAAGAATATTGGCACAGAGCCTGGGTTTAAATC